TTCCTTTAAGGGGGATAGACATAGCCCTATCACAGACAACACTGTACTTTGAGGGTGGATTTTGCTGGTTTCAAGTTTTCCTAGATTCATACTTTGCACATTCCAAGTTCTGACCATTAGCAGGTTTTGCAGTTGTGTCTTCTGAAGGTAGTGAGCCTTGCTCCATCAACAAATGAAGATCCTGCAGGCTCCACTCCCAGGCTTTATCCCACTCACGTCACCTTGGTGGATTCCGCTCAGAAACACCAGCTCCTCCTCAGAGACATTTCCAGTGCCCTCTGAGCTGAGGGGCCATCCTTGGCACCGTCTCCGACAATGTTCTGCTTCCATTCATTAGGCCTTCAGTATCTGACAATGTTTTGATTATATTCATAAGGTTTTTTTGTGGCTAATGCCCCCCAAGTGGGCAGCCAATTTCTTCTTGGTAGTCTGTTCTTAGTTTGAAAGCTCTGCTGGAACCTGTTCATCTCGGGTGACCCTCCTGGCACTTGAAATGCCAGGACACAGCCTCCAGCATCACAGCAACGCACAAACCACCACAGTGCCACACACTGACAGACAAGTGGTGGTCCCACTCTGGGAGGGGATACTGGCAAACCATGTATCTGATAAGTATCCGGAACACTTAGAGAACTCACCCAATTTGACTATAAAAAGAAACACCGGTATAAAATGGATTAGATACATTACAAGACGGGCAAAAGATCAGAAGAGAACATCGCCCGGGGGTCTGCACGTGGAAATGCTGCACATCATGCCGTTAGAACACTGCAGAGGAGAACAAGAAGGGGCCGCCACACACACCTGACAGAGTGGCTGAAATCGGGGTCCCTGGTGGCACCAAACGCCAGCGAGGATGAGGAGCAGCAGGCTCACCCACTGCTGCCAGGAAGGAAAACGGCCCAGCCATAGGGAAGGCCATGGGCAGTCTCTTACAGAAACAGGTGGACTTCACAAGCCAGTGAGCCTGCTCTCCAGGGGACAACACTGGAGACACACTGTGGGAATTATGCCCCATCTGATCCCACCACACCGAGGCAAAACACTACGGGCGTGCAACAGAACAGCAACGAAGTTCCCAGGAAATACCAAAAATAGACTTTGGGGCCAGGTCTTGGCGCCCCATCAGACTCGACTGGAAAGCACTCCTAAAGGCCAACAAACTGTCCTTGAACTAACTACAAGCTTTTCTTTTTTGTTTTGTCATTTGCTTTTTGTTGATGTTTTGTTTTCTTTTGTTGCTTGGTTTTGCTCTGTCTTGCTTTTGTGCATGTTGTTATCTCTGCAGGTCTGTCTAAATAAGATAGGCTGGATGAACAAACTGGAGGAGAAAACATCGGGACCAACAGGACCGACGGTTTTGGCGGGGGACATGGGAGAGGGGAGGGGAGGGGAAAGGAAGTGGTGTTAAGCCCAGGAACAAGGGAACAAGTGATCCAAATCTGTGGTGAGGAGGATGTAGGAGGCGTGATAGTGCGTGATCAAGGGCAATGTAACCGAGAGGAATTACTGTAACCCAAATGAAGGCTGAGCATGATGGTGGGACAAGAGGAAAGTAAAAGGAAATAGAGGAAAGAACTAGGAGGCAAAGGGCATTTATAGAGATCTAAATAAAGGCATGTACATATGTAAATATA